TAGACAAGAGACGGTGTTAGCTCTACGGTTGGTTTAACATGATAAGGCAAAAATAAAAAACATAAATCTCGACAATCTCTTCGATAGGCTTTATCGGCATAGATCCTCCTTGAACGAGTCCTTATTATTATAGTTAGTAACATTATCAAATCTAATGGAAACATGTTAAAATACAAAAACATACTTATTCTATTAGCAATCTTCTTACTTAATGTATTATTGGAAAATAAAAAGTTCAGTATTAAAATCTTTGTTCATTAGGTAATTAAAAGTTTGTAATAATGCAAAATAAACACCAGCGAGTATCGTAAAATTTAGCTATTGAGTACGGGTTTGATTTGTAATCGATGAATATTTAGTTGTTTGGTAATAATAAATTGTTGTAATTTAAATCAGTGCAATAAGCTTTTTGTCCCACCCAGTAAGCTTTTAGAAATATTGTTACACTTAAAACTAGTCCTTATGTGAAATGCAAATAACATATAATTTAAATATTTCAACGTTTATTAACACACTGTACGTACGTTGACAAAGAGCTTAACATACGGGCGATAATTTTAAAATACACATTCCTTCACATAGTATATTTAAGTACAAATAAAATAATTAAATTTAACATCGTTGTTTTACATTCGTTCCGACTGAATTTGGGCTTTAGACGTGTTTAAAGTGGGCAGTCGTGAGCAATTTGTATGTAAACACCCGTGTTAAACTTTTAGAACATAAGCCGTCGGTTGTTTGACAAATGTGGCATTCTATAAACTTTATTTATTACAATTTTTTTTAAGCGCTTCTTACATTAAGGAGATTTTTATAAAATACTAGCAGAACAATGTTCAATCTAAAAAAAAAATCTTTTTGGCTTTATGTTATACAGCGACTCACCCTCGCTTAGCTAGGTGTTTATATAATATTGTTCATACGAAAATACTAAGTTCGCTATTAAGAAATAGGGGGTAGGGGTAGGAGGGTAAAAAATACTTTACGACCTATTCTCGTATCTACCAAATATATAAAAAAATCATTCAAATCGGTCGAGCCATTTTGGAGAAGTGCGACCACAAACACCGTGACACGAAATATTTACATATTAAATTTATCTATATTTTTTTTAAATAGGGGCGTCGATCTTTAACAAGAAAACTTTAATATTTATAAAATTGTGTATAAAAATCTGAGTGTTTTTGTAAGTTTATCCTTGAGTCGATGTAAAATGATAAAGAAAAAAAAACAAAATGCTGATACGTACAAACAAGTACATAAAGGTAATTTTACAGTAACGAGATATAACAGATTAAAAATTTGCCTATGTCATTTAGGGATAATATTTGCCATTTAGCTATCATTTTATATATCATTATGTGTAATACTAGACAAAAACTAAATTTATCCCACGGAAAGCGTAGATTTTTCCGGGATAAAAAGTAATCTATTTGCTATTCCAGACTATGATCTACCTCTGTGTCAAATTTCACCCAGATCTGTTCAGCCGTTCTGGCGTGATAGTGTAACAAACATCCACCCATCCATCGTCCTAAACTTTCATATTTATAAAATTAGTACGGATCAATATAGATATGTAAAATTTAGGTTCCATTTTCTCATAAACGTGGACTACATTCTAAGAAGCTATTTATGGTTGTAAAAGCTAGCCACCCGACTAAGCCAATTGCGTAAGTCATCGTAAGCGTAAACGATAGAAGCCTCGTTTAAAAGTCGATTTTACTCTCCTCAAAACCTTGTACTATAATAGAGCAAGTTTTTTTTTTATTATTACGTGACTTAGCCATTTTCAACTTATCTGCTATTACAGATAAAAATATGTCCTTGAATTGCGCAGTTAAAGTCTTTAATAATTTATAAAATAATGGCACGGAACTATATAACATAGCGTTACATTTTGTGAACATTTTATGTTATTGTTTGTAACGTTATATTTATAATATTACCTATACATATAATAACTATTATACATAAATATTGTAACTAAGTCGAATCTGTACATCAAATATTTTTTGAAAAATCTAATTGAAATAGACATTATTATCGATACAGAGTCCGAATCTATAGTTTTTAGAGTTTTTGTCTGTCTGTCTGTCTGTTACCGCCTCACGAGAAAACCACTGGACAGATTTTGATGAAATTTGGTATGATGATAGCTGGTTATCCGGGTCAACATATAGGATACTTTTTACCACGGGAAAATATTTCATTTCTGAGAAAAAATACAAAAACTGCATTGTAAGAGTATACTAATATGTAAAACCTAAGAATTTGGTTTTTGGTCATCTCAACGAGGGCGGAGCCGCGGCAATGCTAGTATTTATAATATTATTTAATTAAATAAGACAATTGTCTAATGAGATATATGCGAGCTGTGACTGAAACAAAAGCCAGATATTTATTAAAATTATTTCCTATTTCTCCCTCCTGACGCGCGAACTAATGGATATTCTTAAAGCTTTAAAAGCTCTCAAGCCCAATACTTTAAAACCATCACATACGAGTATATAGCATATCTTCCTGAATTTAAATTTATGATATATAAATGAAATTAATATTATTTTTACTATATGTCTGCTAAAATATAAAAATTTACATCCCTCATAGATTTTTTCATTCCGATATAATACATAATGAATAGTATGTATTTATCTTGTTTACCCTCAGGCGACTAATTATTAAATATGAGAACATATTACTAGGTATTCCTCATATTGTTTTTTTAGATGTTCAAACAGAACTTAATTCTACCGTTCTTAACAGAAGTGCTGTGATTCGATTGTGCTCACTTGCTCATTACACCGAAATTAACTTTAAAGTGGACTACTCTCAAAGCTCTTGGCTCACTCACAGTAAGATCAAAGCACTATCTGCATTTGATTGTTGTTTGATGCAATACAAGTGACTTACGTTCCTAATATTTTGAGACTATATACAAAAATATCGGCTTTTCTTTATAAATATATAATATAAATTTGACGACACGTTTGGTTCAGTTTGTAGCGACCCACTTGCTGTGCCAGTGGTCGCGGGTTCGAGTCCCGCTGGGGGCATTCATTTGTATGATGAACACGAATGTTTCATAGGTATTTATATTTATAATATGTATGTATTTAAAGTTATATATGTGTAGTGTATCAACTATCTGGTATCCGTAACACAGGCCTCGTAGCTTACCATGGAACTAGATGGTGCTGTGTGTTGATGTCCCAACATATTTATTTAATATGTTTGATCTCATCTTTTGGCAAAGAACGCTACCTTTTGGCAAATTTTATTATTAATTGCGGTGGCCTTTACATTAATCTATATAATCCATACACTCTATACTCTATGTAATAAATTACATGAATATCGTCTAGTCATTTCAGCCTTATAGAATGATCAACATACATATACATACAAACGTTCGCATTTATAATAGTAGTAGGACTAGTTTCTGCCCATGGCTGCGTTCGCTTGATAGGTATAATAGCCTAAATATAAGCAATCTCCATTCAGAGCTATATTCAAGTCCAGGCACTGCATGTAGTTTTTATTACTTTTTACCTCTACAATAATTTATTAATTTAATTATGCATATGGATTACGAAATTCTATAAGCTACTAAAAAACAGTGAAACTAAGAGGTAATCTATACATATAATAAAATTGTAACTATTTCAAATCTGTACATTAAATATTTTTTGGAAAATCTAATTTAAATAGACATTATTATGGATACAGAGTCCGAATCTATAGTTTTTAGATTATTTGTCTGTCTGTCTGTCTGTTACCGCATCATGTGAAAACCACTGGACAGATTTTGATGAAATTTGGTTTGGTGATAGCTGGTCATCCGGGTCAACATATAGGATATTTTTTACCCCGGGAAAATATATCATTTCTGAGAAAAAATACAAAAACTGCATTGTAAGAGCATACTAATATGTAAAACCTAAGAATTTGGTTTTTGGTCATCTGAACGCTGGCGAAGCCGCGGGCAGTGCTAGTCTTTAATAATATTATAAAGAGTAAAGTTTGTGAGTTTGTGACGTTGTAGGGATATCTCTGGATCTACTGAACCGATTTAGATGAAATTTGGTAAAAAGAGTTTGAGACCCTGAGAAGGACATAGGATACTTTTTATCCCGGAAATAATCCCTTAAGGCGGTGAAAATGGGGATGAAAGTTTGTATGGGGACTCAAGTTAGGGACGAGCCCGAGCGAAACGAGGGCGAGTCGCTAGTGAATTATATAGAGTAGACTGTCCTCTGCCACACTTATTGCTAAGCTTATTTACAGTATTCGTGTATCGCTGAAAACTATTAGGCACGTATCCAAAAACAAACTATATTTTATAATGAAAAGTGTCTTGCGAAATAAATATTCATATAAAAAATTTGATTTACGTATGACGTTAGTGAAAAATATATTTATTAGCTTTTCACAAATGTGGAGTATGACATTTTGTTATGATTTATGTTATATTTATTTAGTTTTTACTAAAAAAATGAATGCGAATAATTACATGAGGAAAGGACATAGAAATCTAGCCCAATGCAAATTTTTAATAGCTTACATATAATATAAATTATACATACATACATAATATCCTAACATATTTATTTATTTATTTAATTAATGAATTCAAAAATCAAAAGTATAATATACCATACAACCTTCGTATGCATAATATCGATTAGTAATAATTGCAGAATATATTGAATAAACATTTTGCTTGCGAAATCGATTTTTACATCACTTATGTTGTGTTTTTGGAAGTGAAACGAAAATGTGCAATAGTATTCTGTTAAGATTTTTCTTAGACCTACTACGAAAAATCTTTATATAGACTCTAATCCAGTAAGCAAAATCTGAATTATTAATGATACGAAGCCCATTTTATATGATCGAGTATATAAATTAGTGGAATTCCCAATTTAAATACATTTATTTCTTTAAATATTTCTAGATTTTCAAAGAATTTATTTCATAGCGTCATCTTTTTTTACAGAATGGTTCGAGTAAGCTGCCTCTTGACTTGCTGCCTCCTAGGCGCGCTGATCCTCATCGTGCCGACAGCCGCTTACCCCAGGTTGTTGTAGTTTATCCAAATAACATTTATATGATATAAGAACCTAAAAGCTACTGAGTCTTGTACCATGATAAAGCTTTTAATATAAATATAATATACTATAATATAACTTTGTACAAAAATAATTATAAAATCTACGTATATATCTACAGAATCCGTATTTTCCTTCTAAGGTCCTCTCAAAATGTGTTTGCTGTGAACTCAATAATAACTGTAAAGCGCATTTATGATGATGATGATGTTCTCCTAGCCGATTCCGGCCACGGCGGCCAATCTCAATGAGATTAGCCAACTGCGCAGGAGATATTATAGTGCTCAAGTGTACGCGCAGACACAAATACACTCTCTATTCCTATCACTCTCATACTCCGGTGGGACGACCACTCGACACGACCGGTGAGAGTTAAGGCGCAGGACCGACGGCTTTACGTGCTCTCCGAGGCACGGGGGTAAAACACCGCCAACTTCCCAACTCCAGACTGTTACTGAGACTTACTATACAGAAAGACTCAATAACTAAACTTGGCCCGACCCGGGACTCGAACCCAGGACCTCCGAGTGTGTAGCCGTACATGCTAGCCACTACACCACCGAGGCAGTTGCAAAGCGCATTTATAATAGATAAACTACTCTTATATTGCTTAATTGATTGCTTTCTGATTTGACTTTCATTTAATATAATTAAACTTATACGTATTTGCTAAATTATTCATATTTTATATAACTTCGGCAATTTCTAGTGCTAGCAACTACTATCGCCCACACGGACAATATGAAAACGAAGATATCCTGGATATGATGAACCGGCTCAACAACCTCCTCGAACTCGAACGCAGAGTTGAAACGTTAGTACACTATATTTTTATATACACGCTATTTTAAAATTTATAAATGTGCAATGGAGGCAAAATATACGCATTAAATATAACTAATCTTTCTTCAAATAAATTTCAACGAATGAAATTGTAGATATAATAATTGTTTTTCTAAAAATTAATAGACAAAATTGTAAGGCACTTACTTACCTTCTTAATTCTATTCATTTATTAATCCCTCCACGACCGTGGACACCCCGAGGTGTCAGTTAACAATAGGTTTCTTAGAATTTTAATTATTTTCTTAGAAATTTACCTGGAGGTGATAATGGCTTTTGAGTGTACCAGAACACAACTTACTTCACCATATGCTTATTATGCGAAATATTTACCTCAACATTATCACATAAGAAAAAAATAACATTGTTATCGTGATATCTAATACAATTATTGATTTAAATATAGCTTTTTTTACCTTCTTTATCGAATGACTAATATGCACTTTAACCTTTTATATATAAGTGAAAATAATACCCAGATTTGTTCCGAGATTAATATGACTTTTTCTTTACAGCTTTAAAGAGGACATTGCCAAGTACGTTTATAATTCAATCTGACTTGTGCATGATTATAATTTATAGTATTTCTCTACATATTTGACTTTTTTGTCGATATTGAATGATAATTGCTGTAAATATGCTAGAAAAAGACTATTTTCTTTTTATTTTTCTAATTTGCTTTTACGACTTCCTGACCTTCCACGGTAACACTTGGTGTACCGAAATGAAAGTCATATGTCATTCTATATACAAAAGCTGTTATTCCATTGCAGCGTAAAAAAAAATCTAACCAACAGACACTTTTTAAAAGTTTAATTAAACTTGCAATTTAATGGCATAATTTCTACATTATATTCAGAAGATATATAAGTCAAATGACTTACTTTTTATTTTAATATTAAAAGACCAAGAATTTTATCTTAGCAAATACCAAAACTTAATTTTAATAAGCATTGATATTAAAATAACAATATATTACGAACATTTCGTAAAATTCTTTTGTTTTTGTATCTACCGTCTTTAATTGTAAACATAGTAAAATATATCCTTTGTAATATATTCTAGAGTAATTAGACATACCAATGAATATATCGTAATTGGAAACATGTAAGCGGTGTTGTTAAGCTTTTAGAGGGAGTAGAAAGCTTTTTGCTCAAATCCATGAAGAAACATTCAACGTTTTTCGAACGTTAAATATTTTTTAATATTAAAAAAAGTTCTATTTTAGTAACTTGTAAGTCAAAATGATGACATATTATTGCATTACAATAACTATAGTATTATTTGTTATTATCAGTCTCATATTAGGCTTTAATGCCCAATTTAAGAAAAAATCTAAATATTTCAAGAATAATAAAAACATGTGCCTTGTACAGAAATTTCAAAATCTTCTACCAAGGTTTAATACATAAAATAAACAAATAAAATTTTTAGTACACATTTGCGAAAGATAAGCTCACGATACAGATGTATTACGTGCAAATCTTTCTGAAGTCGACAAAATCCTCTAAATACGTGATTAAGAATATTTTTTTTCCTTTTTTTTCTACACATGTAGGTTATATTTATATTTCCTACTGCTTTTTATTTAATGTGATTAATAATTTTTCATTAACACACATGATAATTTCTTTGCAGCTCAAAAGATGATATTGCTAAGTAAGTTTTCAGACTGTAGAGTGTAGAGCATGTTGTAACTAAAGCTTTTTTAATTTTTCAATAAATTACATTTTATTTTAATTCTCGTTACTAAAATCGATATTCTAAAATATTTAATATAATCGATTTAAAATATTATATCATTATTTTTAAATGTTTAAATTATATTTCAATTATGAAACATGTGGCTGTTTTTTGATCTAAGACAAATATTATGCTTGTTTTTTTCTAATAAGTGCATAATAATTTATAAAAAATAATAAAGTAGCTTTGCTAGTTGTAGCATCAAAGAATATTTTTAATCTGAAAATGCCAATTTCTAAGAGCCGTATTTATTTAGCCGTATAGCCGTAAAATATTTTTTTAAATAAATTTATGAATTTTGTTATAGGGTCCTTATAATCATCAATTACAAAACTTTAAATTTTTTTAAGTAGTTTATTAAAATAAATTACATTAAAATTTAAACTATTAGGTTTAACTGACCCTGTTATGAAGTGTTCCTTTTAAATATTAAATATATTTATTATTATAATTAAATATTGTTTAAATATCAATGTTTGTTTTATAGTGACAAGCGTGCACTCGACTTGGGTCTCAACCGTGGCTACTCTGGAGCTCTCCAGGCCAAGCATCTTATGGGAATCGCTGCTGCCAACTTCGCCGGAGGACCTGGAAGGAGGCGACGTGACACCCACTAAATAAAATTTAGTCTAAAGATACCTTTTACTCTAAATATTTATATGCTTATTAAATTTATCCGTCTTAGTCTCATCGGCCTAGATCTTAGAATTTCGCAAATCCATTAGGATTCTAGTCAAAGTTAATATGTTGATCTCATTTGTTATTGTATATGACTGGCTTAATTTCAAATTCCATTTTATCAGTATTTCTTAATCAGTATTAAGACTTTCAAATTAACTTTTAATATTCCTTAAAACTATTTAGTATCAAACCCAACTGTAGTATAGATAACGTGTTACTGTAGCGACTCTACGTTTCCTTATACATGTGAAAACTAATTCTAGTCTAATTTAAGTACCTCCTATCCAGATATATTGTTAATAATAAATATATATATACATATTTATATTACTTTATTTGCTTTACTCTTTTTAGATTAATACTGTCTTATAATTTAAAATAAAGTCGAAAATATCTAACTGCAAGTACAAAAAGTATAAAGTTTTTTAATGTCCTTAACTCTACTTGAACTGTATTATTAAGACACGATTTTAAGAAAAAACTGCTTAACAGCGATTTTAAGCAAAAAGTACCTACTAACTTACATTTACAAGGAAAAATATATGAAGAAAGTACGAAGTACTTTTTATACATTCAATATGGATATTCTATAAATTCAATTTTCTCAAAAAAACCTAAAAGTTATCTCATCTAAAGAAAATATTTTTATAAAAAACTGTTATTTAATTAAAATTGCAAGGATAAGTACATGAAAGCAATAGAAATAGAATTAACTAAATATATTAAAATAAGTATCATACTCTCAAATTATAAATACCTATTAAGGTACTTTTGATTATTCACTAAATCTAACTTAGATTTTTTTAATTTATTTTATTTTATTAAAAAAGTTTAAGTACTAACATTAAGAAGTTGAAGAAGATCTTTAATCTAATACTTATCCATACATCTTATAAATACATAATTTGGTGTCTAATAATTAATTAAGACCTGATTTTATGACACGAGGCTACATCTTACAAGATTTATTTGTTTTTATCGTTTTAGCTAGAGTTTATTAATATACAAATAACATTTACAAAAATACCTATATTTTATTTTTCCACACAAAGAAATTGTATTTTTAGTGTTGTTTTGGAAAATCAAAAATGACTATTTCAATTAGAGATAGTTATTATTATCGATATAGAGAGCGAATCTATAGTTTTCAGAATTTTTGTCTGTCTGTCTGTGTGGGAACGCATCACGAGAAAACCACTGGACAAATTTTGACGTAATTTGGTCGCAAATCATATAATAATACTATACTAGTAAAATCTTCAAGATTAAATAAGTATTTCATTAGCAATTATAATAATATACCTAGCTATATAGTTTATAATATTATATACTTAAATTACGAGCAATAAAAGAGATAGAGAGGGGGGAAACAGGTCAAGTCGATATTCCATACATGTAACTGAGAATTTAAATTGAAATGAGAATTGGGAAATTTTTAGCATGCATAAGCGCAAGTCAAATCTTCGGTCAGCTCCTTAACATAACGATGGTCTTAAATGAGTTTTTATTTAAATAATAAAAAAAAGGTTAAAGAAAAAAGTTTATACACAAAAAAATGTACCAACCTGCATATTTCATATTTTTTTAATTTCTAGACTTAGCGTGAGTTAACGCCATCTATTGGACAATTGATAAATAAAATAATACCAACTGACAGCGCCATCTATGATTATAATTATGAACTATTGAACCGATATTTAATAAATTCACTTTGTAGTTTGAAGTCAACTTAGTTACGTTTGTGAAAACTAGATGGCACTTAAAATTTTTATGGTCGGTTTCATTGGCATTATAATGATTTTTTATTTCGGAAAGTATCAAATTTGGTTTTTTCTTTGTTAAATATAAAATAAAATATGAAGATTTTTTGTAACTCAATACTATACAAACTATGAATTTTTTTGACGAATTCTAAGTATGACTTTATATTGCAACATAGCAAAGACGCAACGTTTTTTAGTACACAAAATCTTTAATCTTTTTTATTTGATAGACAAAAGATTGCCATTTTCAATACAATTATTGGTTCAATTAAAATATTATTAATACTTGTTGCATTTTTTCAATTCTCTAATCACTATCCCGTATGGTCTAGTGGCTAGGATACCTGGCTTTCACCCAGGAGGCTCGGGTTCGATTCCCGGTACGGGAAACTTTTTGTGTAGTTACTTTTATTTTATTATTATTAATTTAGTATCAATAATAATTGTGATTTATTTATTCTTACTAAAAGTTGTCACCGAACATTAAAATTGAAGCATTAGATCCAGAAAATAAACTTTGAGCTTTAGGTTTCAAATAATCATGTTTTGATTATATTTATAATAGATTCGACGTTCATGAATCAAAACATAATAAAAATTATATACTTAGAGATATAGTAATAACTAATCTAGTTTGATTTAACACTATTTTAACTTACAGATTCTTTAGATACATTAATAAACAATATAATTTTAATGGTAAAAAAAGGAGTAACGTCGTCAACAAACTGATGACATAAATTCGTTGGCTCACTATTACAAGGTTCTATGTTAATTTTAATGAAGTTTAGTAATTTTTACATAGAACTTCGTTATTTTGTTATCGTAAAATAATCAACATAGAACTATGTAAAATTGAATATTTTGTAGTTACAGTGCCGCTATCTAGTGGTTTGTTTTTGCAAAACTGTAGCTAATGACACATGGAACCTTGTAGCATTCATAACTAAATAAGTACTAAAATTGTAACATAGAACCTTGTAATAGTAAGCCAACGAATTATGTCAGAAATATTAAAACAAGTGTCACCAAAAACTGCATAAAGTTTCCACTCCATCGAAAGTCTTAAGCGTGAAAGCGCTAGCTTAATACAAAACAAATATACAGAATATGAAACAAAGTTAAAGCTAAATTAAAACGGTATGAGAAATAGAATTGCAAACTGGAGTTTCAATTAAGGCCTATTTGTGTACTCTACTCGGTACATAGCATCAGTCACCCAGACCCAGACCCAGTATATATAGGGGACTGTTAGTCGTATAACTTTTGTTTAACCTTCTAAATTCAATTTTTGTGTGTAGATATTTTATTTATTTAACCGCTAATAGCTCATGAACTTCAAAGAAAGGGCACTGTCTATCATAATTAAAACCTAATTACCTTTAAACTAGGTATTTATTTTTGGAAATGATTTATCTTCTAAAGGTCGATGGCAATTATTTTAAAATAGAATGTGATTATCGTTTTATGAAATTGTGGTTGAATTGACGTTATTGATTCACGAACGACAAATATCTATCTTTTAAGTAATCCCGTGGATTTTATAATAGTAGGGGAGCCCAAGAGGGGATTTTCTGTAGTTACTCGAGCGCGGCAGATTAACATAAAAGAGGTTACCTTGCACTCTATTGAGTACTTTCACCATAATATAAGTCTTCTATATAAAGGGGCGCGTCTAGGGAAGCCGATTAAAATATTGAAAAAATGTTTTGATAAGGTAAAAATACTTGAAACCGTCAGATTAAGGTGTGGTAGGCTAGTCACATCCTGAAAAGTGTCCAATTCAAGAATCTGCCGATTTGCACAAGCCGAAGAGGCAAAAATCGACTATAAAGTTTATGATGATTTTTCAAAATCCTTAATCTGACGGTTTCAAGTATTTTTACCTTATCAAAACATTTTTTAAATATTTTAATCGGCTTCCCTAGACGCGCCCCTTTATATAGAAGACTTATATTGTGGTGAAAGTACTCAATAGAGTGCAAGGTAACCTCTTTTATGTTAATCTGCCGCGCTCGAGTAACTACAGAAAATCCCCTCTTGGGCTCCCCTACTATAATGAATTCTTTAGTAAAAAAATGGCTTAAGTGATGGCAATTTTTTTTTTTTTTTCTTATTTCATATAAAAACTTAACGTAAAATTTCTTAGTAATGCGTTGACAAACCTGCATATTATACTTAATTAATTTTTGTATGTTTTAGAAGCCTAAAAACATATATTATAACATTTTCGTGTAAATATATAACAATTCTAACTATTATGTTATCTACATTCAAACTAACAAACACGGAATTTAAAATCAGCTATTGGAGTACATTTCTATAATATTTTGATATGAGATTAACACCACAATTTTATTACTAGTAAATTCTACACGTTACGGTACGATATTGACAAATTATATAGTTATGTATAGCTGAGATAAGGAAAACTGAAAAAAGTAAGTATTATGAAAACTGAAAAGTTTCAGGTTTCGTGTGATTGTCTAATTCATTACCGGTACATCCATACTAATATTATAAATGTGAAAGTGTGTTTGTTTGTTTATCCTTCTTTAATGTCGAAACGGGGTGACGGACTAGCGTCATTGTTTGTGTGGAGATAGTTAGAGGGCTGGAGAGTAACATAGGCTACTTTTTACCGCAGACGATTATCTCATTCCCACGAGAAAACACGTTATAATACAACCCAAAAAAATATTTATGATCAGAATTATGTACTTGAAACTTGGTATTAATATTCTTCAATACAGTTAAATAAATAGCCGATGAAAGTTTGTATGAAATCTACTTTTTTAGAGTTTTTCTGTAGCTCTAGCGCGAGCGAAGCCGCGGGTTTTGCTAGTAATAAATAATTAATATAGATAATACCGAGTCTTTATTATATTTGCCATTTTTCCGGCTTAATGCATAATAGAGTTACATTTTTTATATCAAAAAATTAAACCTAGTGTAATTTTACTAAAGGCCTTTCCCGTCAGTTACCACAGAAGCTCACTACGTTTTTAATAAATAATTAATATTGTAATTATAGCCTGCTTCTTATATAACATTTCAATTAAAATTAATCCACCAGGTATTGAATATTTAAGGGATTTATTTTATGTTTTACCACATAAATTGTAAATTAAAATACAGTAATGCTCCATTGACAGAGAAATCAGCGAACA